TATTTATTTATTTATTTATTTATTGCATTATTCACACAAATGTAAAATACTACTAACAGAATCCACACATCACGACATTTTAAGTGTGCACTTAATCAACCATGAGAATTTTAAATCTCTTCCACCCATACGTAATCTATGAATATGATCCTACTTTGAAATTTTAGAAAGCAAGCAGGTGATAAAGTACGGACCAACTCTGCACATTTTAAAAGTTATTTCAATTAATAGCCAGAAGAAGCCGAAATCGTTCGACTACTACAGCAGAAAGCAATAGACATCTGAAATGCAGTTCCCCATTATAATTATTATTTAGTCTCCAGTATTAGCACTTAATACCCGCAAAGCTGTTGGCTAATTGTTTGTTCTCAATAAAATATTATGCTCTGGTTAGTAAGTAAAGTATTGCATTAGAAGTATAATTAATATCAATATGAATTTTAGTTCTCGCAATATTGTTATGCAACGTCTATGTTTTTATCACGTGGGAAAAAAAGCATCATTTACGATCTGAGGAAGTGTAAAAAAAATTCACACAACTCTAATTCTGCTATTATTCCCAAATATCCATGATCATTCGATCTATCGTACAAAGAAGAATAGTTTTAATTTATCACTAATTAAAATAATTCATTTATATTTGAATTGGCAAGAAAATGTCAACAAATTCGGCTGCCCCTAAAGACTGTCTTTCGTGCAGAATTGTCTGCGGTATTAGTTTGATCTGTGGAGGCCTATTTGTAGGTTACCAAGGCCACCGATTTAAAGGTTATAATCGAGCAGGGATGTTTGCAATTGCTACACGTAAGTTAACTGTTTTACTATTCCGTGTATTTTCTAGTTTGTAAAACTATATTATGTTTGGTGGTGGTGTTTTGGGTTTTGTTGCCATGTAGAAAAATGGAGACAGTATTGTTCTCCAAAACGTTTGAATCTATTGTGCACGGAGCCAAGATCATCCACACCACTGTAAAAAACATAAGTTTTAAATAGCGTCCTTAACTTAAAACTGGAATGGGTCATTTGACAACCTGCACAAAATCATTAACACGGGAAAAATACTATTAACATACCACATCCACCTTCCAGTCATTTTGTCAGTACAGTGTGTGCTAAAAACATAATTTCCCACATTAAACTCAAACATTCCAAAATATTAACACAATTCATTCTTTTTATTTCTAATTCCAGTTACTGCAAGCTTTGGACTTGTTCAAACAATTGATCCTCAGGGAAATTTGTATGGCAGGTTCCGATCATCTTAGCACATCTTATGTCTAGGATATTTGACAATGGTATTTGCATCCAGAAGAGCAAGAACCATAACATAAGTTTTAACCACTTGACGCAGCTGATAGCCCGAGACGATTTTATTGAACACGGTCACCGTGAAATCTCAAGATCATACATAAGTATTTCATTATTATATAATTACATTTCAACCATACAAATACTAAGATACTATAATCTCATTTGCCAACTTTCCCAAGCTTTGTATCTGTCTTGGGATTTGCTGTCACACTTTGTACTGCCACAATACACTCATTAATACGGGTCTGCAAGTCTCGAAGGTTCTGAATGTATAGAAGGCGCAGGATCTTTGCTGCCTGATTCAACACATAATCTCCAGTGTCAAACCCTAGGTCAGCCTCTTGAAATGGAAATGGTTTGCCCTGTAACAGAGAAGAACTATTACTACTACTCAGTGGCACTACAGCCCTTGTGTAGGGCCTTGACCTTCCCAACAGAGAACGTAACTAAAAAATGAATACTAGAAATTCTACTTGTCACTATAAATTAGTGTCTCTTATTCAAGGGAGTAGCTTTGCTCATGCTGCACGAACCACATAAACAGTGGTCTTATTGCTGACAGACATCACACATGCACTATTAATCTGTGGCTGTAGGATGCTCTTCCTCTTCATGGCTAGATATCTGTTTTCAGAATAACATTTTGTGACTAAGATGATACATTTTATATTAAAATTAACACAGATAGCATAACGGGGTTTTGTTTCCTTTATTAAATGTGACATCTTGCAGCATGAAGTTATAAGATGTGCAGACTTGTGCATATTGAATGTGTTTCCTGTAGTAATCTGGAAGTTATTTGCTACCTTTCAACAGACTGAATAAATAACCAATGAACCAATGAACAAGATTTTAATTGAATACAGATTTCTCCCAACTATCCTAAACCAAAGTTTTGTTATTTTTGATGCAAAATTTTGCTACAAGTTCCTCCTACAAAACAATGTATAACATTACTTTATTCAGTATCAGTCTCTGGTGGAATAATCATGTGTGCACAAACCTTCACGATGACGCTGCTTGGGTTTTCGAGGGCTTCAGCTGAGAGTCGCTGGCATACCACTTTGCTCACTGCCTTCAAAGTGATGAGATGATCTGGATGAGAAGTGATCTGCAACAGCTGTGCAAGTGTGTTGACTCCTTTCTTGAAGTCTGCACTCTGAACTGCAACATCACCATTACTGTCATACATTACAAGTAACAACATAAAATGTTCCAAGTGGCAGTTGAAACCAGCAAATGTGCAGGCAGTTAATTGGTACAAATCAAACTACCCTTACAGTCCAAATTATCCAGTGGATTGGCAGAAACAACTTTGGGCGTATTCAGCTCATTCTTCTTAACGTGGTCAGCTGTCTGGTTCTTGTACATATCCGCTGTAATGAGATAAGAGTTAGTATGGGGTCAGATCCTGTGCCACAATGTCATTAAGAGTTGATCATGATTCAAACACCATGTGGGTACAGAATCTGATGTGGAATATAGGAAGCTCAGTGGTAAGTTAGTGGTGCTACAGTAAGATACAAATATGCTACTTGCCACTATCAGAATATTCAAGTCTGACAGCAAATGCCAGCAGCCACTCTATGAGTTCACTTGGCTTCTCACTCTGGATTGGGCAAGCAAGGTCATCTCCGTACTTCCTAAATGTTTTAGGCCAATCATGACAATTTATATCCCGGAGGGCTTTCCGGTCCTCTATTTTATAATGACGGATCTTCTGATCTTCAAGCCACAGGACAAGATTTCTGAATTCTGTGGTGTCTGCAATCAAGATGATTTTTAAATTTATTTCTATAATGTGATGAACAGCAACACTGAAAAATCACTACTCAATGGGAATGAACAAATTATATACTATTCAAATGTCACTGGCCAAACAAGAAAATCAAAACGTGACTTACCATTAACATTAAAATTATCAGGTGAAGGATAATTCAAAGCCGTTAACTTTCTTTTAAACATACTGCAAACAAATATGTTGCTTATTTTAAATCACTGCTATTTACGAGTGATCGACTAATTCTAGCCACACCATTTACACAGTTATCACTCGATGCAACTGTGACAGAACAGAATGAATCGTTGCTGAATAACAGCAAACAGTACGTTGATATAATGTAAGGTAGTAGAAAGTTAGGTGTCGCAAATGGAAGTCGAAATATTGGACTGACCTATGCGTGACGTGTCATCGATCAGGATAATTAATTTGTAAATAATTAATAAGAAAGTGGATGTTTACGGAAGAAAATTCTTGTACCGTGTTCTGAATGAAAAAGGTGTTTTTTCAAGGATTACTTTCGATTTAACTAATTATTATTGAAGTCAATGGTAGTGACATCACAGAAGCTTACTCGAAAGATAAACTGTGCACATAATAGTCAATGTAAGATTTCAGGTTCTCACGGCGGGAAGTTTAAAGATGGCTGTCTTCAATAGTCAAGTTGTAAGTAACACTAATCTGAATTACTTTTTTATGCTCATCTGAAACCAAAACCAGTTTGTCAAAAAAAACAACTGTTTTTATCAATTCAGTTATTCACTAAACTTTACTGGACATAAATTATCTTAAATGTGTAATAATGATGTATACATAAGTAAACATTTATGTATAACCATAAGTACATTAATATTTTCATGATCACTGTTAGTTAAAAGAACAGATGTAAGGTATATATTACTGAAAAATAATATGAAAATAAATAAAGCCTACTTATAAGTCCAGCCCATATGTATCTTACTGCCATCCCAGGTGCTAAGTTCATCATAGACTGCAGTGTCACAGCAGGACAGGTCTCTCATCTGCCTTGCAGCTTCCTTTCTCATTCTTTACCTTGCACCATGTTAGTAAGAATACCTTTTTTGTTTCGGGTTATAAATATATGTATGATATAAATTTGGTACCTACCTCCTGATTACTCTAAGCTAAGACAGAAAAGGTAAGAACAAAATGTCTCTTACTGTAATAGTGAGATGTAGAAACAACAAAGTGAGCTAAATGATGTTTCTTAGCAGAAGCACTTACATTACTAAGTAAAATTATGTACAGTTTTTTAACATACAGTATATAATTTGCAACATTCATGATTCAAGCCTTCTGTATCACTTACACATTAGTCACTCAACTTGCTTGCTCTGGGTACACTACACAGGTTTGTATACAACGTGTGTGCAATGGCAATGAGTATAAGGCCAGCAGTTTGTTGCTACTCACATGTGTCTGTCCTCACTGCACAAACATCATGAATGATTCAAAGCCGTTAACTTTCTTTTAAACATACTGCAAACAAATATGTTGCTTATTTTAAATCACTGCTATTTACGAGTGATCGACTAATTCTAGCCACACCATTTACACAGTTATCACTCGATGCAACTGTGACAGAACAGAATGAATCGTTGCTGAATAACAGCAAACAGTACGTTGATATAATGTAAGGTAGTAGAAAGTTAGGTGTCGCAAATGGAAGTCGAAATATTGGACTGACCTATGCGTGACGTGTCATCGATCAGGATAATTAATTTGTAAATAATTAATAAGAAAGTGGATGTTTACGGAAGAAAATTCTTGTACCGTGTTCTGAATGAAAAAGGTGTTTTTTCAAGGATTACTTTCGATTTAACTAATTATTATTGAAGTCAATGGTAGTGACATCACAGAAGCTTACTCGAAAGATAAACTGTGCACATAATAGTCAATGTAAGATTTCAGGTTCTCACGGCGGGAAGTTTAAAGATGGCTGTCTTCAATAGTCAAGTTGTAAGTAACACTAATCTGAATTACTTTTTTATGCTCATCTGAAACCAAAACCAGTTTGTCAAAAAAAACAACTGTTTTTATCAATTCAGTTATTCACTAAACTTTACTGGACATAAATTATCTTAAATGTGTAATAATGATGTATACATAAGTAAACATTTATGTATAACCATAAGTACATTAATATTTTCATGATCACTGTTAGTTAAAAGAACAGATGTAAGGTATATATTACTGAAAAATAATATGAAAATAAATAAAGCCTACTTATAAGTCCAGCCCATATGTATCTTACTGCCATCCCAGGTGCTAAGTTCATCATAGACTGCAGTGTCACAGCAGGACAGGTCTCTCATCTGCCTTGCAGCTTCCTTTCTCATTCTTTACCTTGCACCATGTTAGTAAGAATACCTTTTTTGTTTCGGGTTATAAATATATGTATGATATAAATTTGGTACCTACCTCCTGATTACTCTAAGCTAAGACAGAAAAGGTAAGAACAAAATGTCTCTTACTGTAATAGTGAGATGTAGAAACAACAAAGTGAGCTAAATGATGTTTCTTAGCAGAAGCACTTACATTACTAAGTAAAATTATGTACAGTTTTTTAACATACAGTATATAATTTGCAACATTCATGATTCAAGCCTTCTGTATCACTTACACATTAGTCACTCAACTTGCTTGCTCTGGGTACACTACACAGGTTTGTATACAACGTGTGTGCAATGGCAATGAGTATAAGGCCAGCAGTTTGTTGCTACTCACATGTGTCTGTCCTCACTGCACAAACATCATGAATGAATACATATATTTATTCTTCAAGTCTATACACAAACCATTTTAATATTGATGTTTAAAATTAAAACTGATATAAATAATTCGCGCTATTCATCGTTTTTCTCGATGTTACAATTTGCGCATCTAAACTATAAAAATCATGAATGAAGTATAAAATAACATCTCTTCAGGGATGATGACAGTGTCAGGGGAGGGCAGGAGTGCTGAGGAAAATTATCCAGATTGGTGTTCTCAAATCCAGAGGAATCATAACGATATTCTGGGAGAAGTGTGTGTTGCACTTCAAAAATATACAGTTCATAAGAAATATTTGAAATAAAGAGGGTAAGTTTCACTCTATTCAAACAAAATAAATTACATTTTCAAGAATCTCTGCCAAACTGCTGGGTATGCCTATTAACAAATACCGCATGACCCATTTTTGAAAGTTCTTTATGCAGGTAATTCAATTCTTGTGCCACAATACTAAGCTCACGAGTCAGGTCCTTTTGCTACACAAACTGCCAAGAATATGTAAAGATAAGGAACTAATGCATATATATGATACATCCCCTCCCCTTGTGCAGATTACTGTAGACATATTGTTAATTGCCATTAGGACTAAAGATTTCAATTCTAACCAAATTCCACATCACTGCTGAATACCTTTACACATATAACACCAAATATCCCCCCCCCCCCCCCCAATACTTCACCCAAAAGCTACTTAAATTTTACGGTTACAGTCAAATTAAATTAGTATGACAGCATCAGGGCATGACACACCAAAGAGTCAAGTATCCATCAGGGATGACCACATATCCTTGGGTGCTGTATGACTCACCCTATCTCCATGACATGTATAGCCTACCAAATCTCAGACCCATCCTAGACCTCATTCTCAGCAAACCTATTAGCATGATTTCCATGACGGCTTCAGGTATCATCATCCCTGTCTGCATACAGAGAGAGATGCTGCAACTTTAGAACTTCACAGCCCCAGCTTGTCCATCCTGGCAGCAGGTATCTGGCAAATATTTCCATGCAGCGAGGATTTGTCGGCAAATACGGAGCCAGAACATCTAATGAATAAAATACTGTCAATGATGCAGTGTTGCTCCACAGATAAACACAAATACATACCCTTAATCTGTCCACATTTTCACAAGTTACTTTGCATTTTAGTAAGGAATAGGGAATTTAAATCCCTATACTACGGAGCTATGAGTAAGACTTCAACTCCAGGGTTAACGATTTAGTGGTATTCCAGCGAGACCGCAACACACTGTCAATGAAGGTAACCCAGAAAGCACAGTTGTGCTGTCCTTTCACTTTCATACTGGCTACAATGTGGAAAATTATGTGTCAGCTGACCTCTATGGCCAACCAGGACTGAATCATATGTTTACCTGATAAGGGTGGTTTGTGTGAGTGAATAGCGCTTGGCACACTGAGGATAACTCTGCCTGGTTCTGGCAGCGGCTGCTTCCTCTTCCCACCTTTCTTGTATCCAAACACTATCTGTTCAAACGGTTGCTTCCCAGGAGGCTCTGAAAACTGACACACTGGCTCTCCACCACGCGTCACCTGTGCACATATATACAGCCATAATGTTGTTAACTTTACACTAGTAACAAAAAAGCAAGGCTAAAGCTTTCTTAAACAACTATGAGGGTAAGTTAATAAAGATGGTGAATTAGAACTTTCATCAGTATACATATCCAATGCCATATTGACACTGCTCGTCATTACATAAAGGCTAAGATTTAAAAAAAGTGTTCATAAGTGGGATGAACCATTCAGAAATGGTTGCATAATTGTAGCAGAGTAGACCAGTGAAAGCAGATATTACACTTATTTTGAGAGAATCAACAAATCACTTTTGATGAACTTTTTAATAATCTGATTCTGAGTTACATTAGAGCCCATTTCACACTACTGCAGGGTGTGTGTAACAACAATACTGGCTAGCCAGCTTTTTTAAGTGTTCAAGAAATACAAACATTAATCACAGTCATGTGACCAAACACTGAGTCAAGTACACTCATGTAACTAGTGCTATACAATGGAAAATTTCAGAAATTATTTAGATGGCTGTCTTCTGGGTTCCTGTGCCATGTAGTCTGGTACATGTTTACAAAACTTCTACCAGACTACATGGCACAACACAGAAGACAGCCATCTTCAGACTCACTGCCATGATATTATATAAATCCTATTCAGGAATTATTTCAGTGCCTTGTTTCTCCTGCTCAAATGACATTGTATCTTCTCCAGTCTTTATTATGTTGGGTCTACCTTTAGCCAGAACCACTTCCCCACATATTCAATGTCCCAAGCTGGAAATACTTCAGTGCAAAGGCAGGTAAGATGACTGTCTGAATTGGTGCACCACACTGCAACCAGGGAACCTGGTGCTGTCAGATTTGCTACAGGAATTTTCATCAAGTCCATGCTGTACATCATTTGGTATCTGAAGCATCACACAGCTGTTACTAACACAAATCTCATCATCTTATCCATAAAAGCAGAAATTCATGTACTGCAAAAAGTATATGTCATGGTCATATCATGCTTATTAAACAATGAGTTATGACTGTATATGAGAGGGTGGTGATATAACCCCAATGTTGGCCCCAGCTGCTTAAGTATTTGTAAATGTTTGTTTCAACTTTGCTGGTACAAATAATCAAAACATGCATGACTGGTAATTGTATTCCAAAGACAATAAGCATTATAAATGCTTACCCAGCTCTCGCACATTTGGCCTTCTTCCGCCGGATGTACTTATTCCACCATGGTGGATCCAGCAGGACAAGATCATATGGGCATGACAAAAGATGCAGCTTGTGCTCAATTTCATTCACATCATAGCTGAAAAACTTGCATTCTGCAGGCACCAAGTAATTTTCACAGTTCACTTGAGTGATCAATCCCTGGCTTAAGCTGTTCTCACCATGCAGCCTTAAAGCTGCTGACACAGGGTAACTTAGGTAAAAGCTATGAGCCTTATCTTGAGCAGCCGCATTATTTCTTTCCCTGTCACTTGAAGTTGGCACGTAACTGAAGTACTCGAGTTTCGTTACCTCCTCAATCACCGATGCAGCATATTTTTGAACATTTGCAACCTACAAACGTATATGTCAATAAATCAAACGGGTTTACATGGCAAGCCCTTACTGCAATGAATCCATTTCTCTGACATAACCTTACAATATTTCACTTTCACCTTAACATAATTATGTTGAACTAGGCACATAAATGTATAACAGAAACAAGTATTTTTTTTGCATTGGATAGTGGCCTTTCTAAGGGCCGGTTCTACTAACGAAACAATCAATATAAGAAATTTCCTTCATACTTACATCTTTCATGTTAACAATCTCTGTTCCTTTTCGTCGCTTTTTTCGTCTTTTCCTTGGCGGTGAAGCTGAACAATTAATTTCAGCAACAGGATTGTTTTTACTGACGCACAAAGACCTGACAAATGGTGTGTTGATTTGAAACAATGAAGAATCAAATGCAAAACTTTTATTTGGTATCCCCTGAACTGTTTCGTACACAGTACGAATAAAATGATCGTGCGAAATAATCCATCCATTCGTCAAAGTGCACAACACACTCATATTTAACAGCAGTGCTCAGTAACTGCTTACATTAATTTAAACTAGAGGAAACGAGACGATTTAATTACAAAATTCGCGTAGGATCTTAAAACCACCGTTTTTTGTTATTAGCCGTGCTCCGTCTTACATTATATTCAGTTCAAGTAGTTAGTAAATAACCTCACTTTCGATACGGCACTTCCTTTAGTTCATAATTTCCATAAAACAAAGATACAATAATTTAAATTTGATATTTAAAAAGCTTCCCACACCGAAATAACAATCATACCGCACGCTTGTATTTCCACACAACACGTTTCGTTAAAAAATATGGAGCCTACATAAATTGGCGTTGGCGTCGCTCGTCTTTGGGAAATGCGGAAACCTTCAAATACATGGGAACGGCAGAAAGAAATCCATTTCCATTCAAGAATAAATTTGGAACAGACTTAAATTCGGAGAACGGTACTACCATACACTTGAGACCATTTGCCTTCCCATTTGCTATATGCAGTCTGAACCTGAAAAAACCGTACGCTTACCTTTGCTTTGTAGTATGACACTACTTTCTCACAGGAAAGTAAGAAAACAAATTCTTTGTGGAGTGTGCCGAGTATAATATTCAGACCTACGAGGGATGACATGGCAAGCCACTGGATAAAACTGCATAATGAGGAGTTTCATAATTTGTACTCTTCCCCCCAAGTATTACTGTGGCTCTAGGCCGTGAAGGTCAACTCACATACAGGACGTTTCTGGAGCCAATTAGGCACTTGGCAGAACTCTTGGAAGAGAGTTTGGCCACCCCAAAGCCTTACCTACACAGCACAGCACAGCCACAGAAAGATACAATTATTCATGCCTTGATCAGAATTCAAACCCACAAGCAATGTCCAAGCGATCAAAACTACCACTCTGGACTGCACTGGCTCTGTAACCAGCCTCCAAATGATATTACTAAGGGGGATAAAAACAAAGGAGGGTGGGATGGGCAGCATCCATGAGAGCAAATACATATACACAACATTTTGATTGGAGAGCCTGAAGGAAGGTGACCACTTCGAAGATATAGGCATAGATGGGAAGAAAATACTAAAATGAGCTGATGACTGGATCACCTGGCACACAGGAACAGACTGATGGTGGGCTCTTGTGACTAAAGTAGTGAACATTTTGGTTCCATAAAAGTTGGGTGATTTCACTAGTTCAGCAACTATCAGCTTAATATGTATGATGCTGTTTGATGTTTGCTCACTTGCCATAACATTAAAATAGAGAAGTGTAAAGTTGAAGTGTGTTAACACACATGGATGGCATAGTGTTGTTGAAGTCTAAAGGAAGTAAGCCAAAAATAGGCATTTTTCCCCTCATTTTTGACAAACAATGTGATGACATTTTCCTGTGATAAAAAGGGAAACCCGAATATTCATGGTCTTCAGTCCTCATGTAACGGAAAAGAAATGCCAAATACATTATCTGCAATTTTTCATAGCCCATTGGCATTGATATTTGTTTAGTTTTGATAAAACTCATTTTTGTTTTTCTGTCATATTAAAAGTTCTGATTTAAATTTTTGTAGGGTATGTCTCCCTTACATGCTGCTCTCTCTACTTCAGAAAACATTTTTGTTTACCTTTTGGTTAATGTATCATAACATGATTCACAGAACATAATACTTAGAATATTGAATTAAAATTATGTATAAAATCACATATAGCCATCTTCCATTATCTTAACAGTAAAATTTAAATTATAAAAAACACACATTTATAATGCGTTATTTCTGGAAGAATTGCTAAAGGTTTATTTGAGCTTAGTTTAATGACTATTGCAAACCAAAATTAATTTCAACAACTTTCAGCACGGCAATTCTCCCATCTCTCTGCTCTCCCAACACAAAGTTTAATCTAAATATGATCAGTAGTTTCAGAGATGAAAAATGCTGATGACATTATGCAATCATTTTCACATTTACCACAAATAGCAGGTGAATATCGCATTAGGAGTGCATTTTAAAAGTGTACTTGCCTACTTTCCAAACAAAATATTAACACTGATAACACCGTTTAAGTTTGCATTAGTTTCCTGTCACACCAAAAGATTAATTAAAAAGTTTTCAGCACCAACTAATTCTCAACTTCTACTCTGTAGGTGAATTACTAAATCAAAGGATTCAAAGGCTGAATGACCCAAGAGGTGAAGTAGGGATTGTAACCAGCACATAGCAATATATGATAACTAGAAATATATACTGAACACAATTCACAACAATGAATTGTATTTGGAGTTCAAATGATTACATACAGTACTCCTGAGTTTCGGGAACTATTAATCACATATTCTTTTGTTTTAGACTGTGGCTACACACTATACAGGATAAGTGATGCCTTATCAACCACAGAAGTTGCAAAGTACAACGAGAGCTGGGATGATTATTAGTGATAGAGATCCCATACAGTACATGTGACCCAGATACCAGGCAAGTGGTACACACATTGCAATGAAACTTAAAACATCATAAGTATCCGTCTGTCACACATTTTAAGGCACTTCTCAATAAAATTATGATCTGAAATTCAACGTACATGCAAAGCGACATCAATGCTGACACAAACAAAAAATCCCAAAGTGTGGCATGTGTTGGAATCTCAGTGAGTGCACATACATGCGTTTTGCAATATCAAGTGCAAAAATCTAAATATTGAATTGCTCAATGCAAATATGAGATGGAAATATGAACTGACAATAGAAGCATTGAGACGCATACATAATCATGAACCAAAGTGTGATGTTTGACATGTAAATAATTTAAGATGCCATCATCTGATCACATATATACATGGGTAAATCTGAGATATAATGGAAACAGTTTCTGGAAGTTTTCCCATGGTTAAACACACATAATCATTAAATTTGTGTGTTTATTTACAAGTCACTATACACAAGTAAGAACACTTCCCTGACTATGAAGTGTAACAACTTCAGATGAAATAGCCTGGTAACTTTGTAATGAATTGAACAGTCTTTATTACAGAGAACACAAGTTATTGCCTCAATTGGCCAAAGTGTTATTTTCATTACTTGCGAACCAGTAACGTATAACTTGGATGTTGTCTATTCTAGAGCAATAATGTGTCTTGAAGGTAACGAATCCAGCTACACCTATTATAGACCATCAGCTTAAACAGTCTGTCTAGTCAACATGCACTGTATTTGGGAAAGAAACATATTCTCTTCAACTATAAAATGTTGTAGAGGAGACTGCAAACTACTGAACAGAGAATGGCCCTTACCTAATTTCTATAAGATATTAAATTTCAAATTACAATTATTCTTTATATGCTCTCTACATAATCAAAAGATGTCCAGATTAAGATGCAGGATACATTTACTGGTGGGAACACAGTTGAGTACATGCCTTGCCATACTTCTGGCTGTAGTTACAATTTGTTAAAACATCTGTTTCATGAGATGTTCCACACGTACGACAACATCCAAGCTATAGGGGGTACAGGACCTGCGTAAGCATGCTCATCCACAGGATCTACATTGAAGGGCAAACATTACTGTGGTATGAAACAATTCAAACCAGACTTCAGATATTCTGGGGCAGGAGGAAGAAGTCTACGTGAGACACGCAGGATTGCGCACATCTCATGAAACCAAACTGTTACCTGTTTCTGTACATCCTGCTATTCCAATGTACCACATGGAAAGTTATATGTCAAAGTCACAATATGAAACTTTCCTTCAGACAGGCAAAATACTTCTCCTGTTGAAAAGCAGAAACTGAGTGTGTGCAAGACAGAGAAAGAGGAAATATGTATAGAAGCTTATGGAGAAAGGCTATTATCAGGATAAGGGGAAAAGAATGCGAAAATGTCGAGTGATCATTACGGTGAGGATGGAATCCTGTCATAGTTCTGAAGGAAAAGTGGAAACCCGCACATCACAATACAAAGCCGCTTTCAGAATTTAGTGACACAAAGCACTTCTGTAGGTAGACGACAAGAGCCTACCATCTTCACTTCAGACTTATGCAGTGGGCACACCAATGGAATACTGCGTACTTTATAAATTAATGTCAGATTTTAAGATGTATACTGATAGGATTTACGAGTACAGCAGTAAGATATTACGGTCATGTATCCATCTTTCAAGAGACATCTATTGGGTTGATTTATCTGTTGGGAATTTTTAGCTATTCCTTGTTGCAACACAAACATTCCAATATCAGTATCAGAAAATGTAATATGCCCCACTGAAAATGGTACAAGTAGGCTGTTTTGTTACTACATGAAAAAATGTAGAAGCAGCAGAAACCGAAGTGTGCTTACACTCCTTAGCAAACTATATGGTGAATGAGAGAGCAGAACACAGCCTATTGAATAGAATAAAACTCAATTTCCTCTGCGTGGTACCCTCAGTTTATCCATGGAACCCTGATGCAGTGCCAGTTCTTTCCTTCATGGAAAACACAACTCTCTCACTATAAGGGCACATCAGGAAATACCTTAGTGTATACAACCAAATTTCATCCTTCTTTCCTGCATCAAGTCAAATCTCGCAGAGCGGGATGGAAGTTTCTGGAAAGGAACCAGGCCATTGAGTTCTGCCAAGAAGGAGAAGAAGAAAAAAGTATTACACTTCATCATGAATCCTTCTGTCACATGACAAACATAAGGCACCTAGGTAACTGACAAGGGTGAAATGGCTACTGGTCTGGGTAATCCTCGATTACATTGGCTGTACTTGCACAATAATATACACGAACAAGTGGAATTCTGTGATATGGAGAGAGCTCTTACAATATCTATGCCCCTAAGGTAAATCAACTGAAATGAATCATTTCACATCCAACATAAATACATTCTTTCTACACATCCCCTCACACTCGAAACACAAACCTGTATCCAGAAAATATATTCAGTGGGAGAAACTTAAGAACTCCTCATTCATTCCTCTGTAAAATAATTTAATCATACATTAGCAATAGGGCTGCCATCAGCATCACAATAAAATATCATCACCTGACACTTCAATGTCTACAGATAAAACAAGGGCAGTGCAATGCATATCATGCCTCTCCAGGAGCAAAACTATTTTTGGGATGAATCAGAAGTTCAGACAATAACAGAAAACAGACTGGTAGCAAGTGTCAACAATGAAGTTAAGGTATTAAATATTAAGAGTGAATTTAAAAATATAGGAGCATGTGGAAAGGATGGAACAGAATTACACCCTGAAGAAAACGTTAAACCACAAAGTATATGGGAAAAGGAATGTTGCAAGACGATGAGGCCATTGGCCAAATTGTTCACCAGGTTGGTGAAGCTTCAGTCCAGTTTCACATGCAACCAGATAAGACAGGAAAGAGCAACAAGAAGCGCACATATCCCAGAACAGCAGGAGCCCAACTTATTGTTGCCCAGAGTTAATTAGGTATTTATAGCAATCAAAGAATAATTAGAAATCTTACAAAAATACTTTTTACCTACAGAATTGGAAAGACATTCACAGTAGGCCATTAGTAAATTAAGTGTAAACACCTCCCCCTTCCTTACTACCAAGTACATTGAAAAGAATTACTAACTCACTGCCATGCAGCATCGCTAATATTGTCACAATGATTGAGAGAAATTCACTTTGAACTAGGTACTTTATATAGGAAGACACTATATAACAATTTAAAATTAAGTACAATGTAATAGAAAGTTACTCATTGTACTTTAAGAAATGCACAATAAAGTTACAAACAAAATGAAAAAAATTGAAAAAATGATATATAAAAACATTTTTTCCTTAACACGGAGGGAATGACAACTTGTAAATATGTACAGAATGTAACAGTACAGTACAAAAAGGAAATACTGCCAACAACCGTGTAACAAGTCCACACCAATAAGGCCTGTGGAAGTAACAGATAAAGTGCAGTATCCACGTGCTGCATCAGAAGAAGATCACCTCCTCTTCGGGGGCCCGGGGAGCAGGGCCTGTGGGTGACTGGGAATGTGAATCAGGGCTGTGGACTCGCGATCGGTCTGGTACTTTGGGGTACGTGTTGGTACGAGCAGCACCCTCAGTACTGCTTGGACCAGCGTCAGAGTTCTGCATCATGGCAGGGCTGCTGCCAGTCCGCACGTGACTGGGAGTGGCAAAGCTGCCAGAGCCAAGTCTCTGATAACCAGTGCTTGTTGAACCACTGCTCCGACGGGCATCAGATCCCTGACTCAACTTGAGGGGAAGCATCTGTTGCACTCCTCCAGTCACAGATGAGCCAAGTTTAGTGGCTAGCTTGAGGGGCAGCTGCTGTTTAACCTGCACATTTGGGGCCACTTTCTGCTGGTTGGTGGCACTAATAAGATTCAGTGGCAACGTGGACTTGCTGGGTCCACTCTTCCACTTGGATTCTGACTTACGCCGAGGATCCACAGTAGTGGTGGGAGAAGAGACTGTAGATTCACCTCCAGTACTAGGGCTTGAATCATCTGTGCTCTGACTAATGTGGATACCTTGACTGCTGAGGCTTTCCTCATGAGGCAGCACTCCAGTCACCATGGGAAGATTGGGGCTGATCAGGATACCCTGACTTGTCAGCATTTCCAGCTTGCGATACAGCTGCTCCCGCTGCTGGGTGATGTCATTTTGTTCTGCTCGTATCTGTTCCTGCAGCACGTTACAGTATCATTAATTATCACTGCAAAACTTATTGATTCATAGAGTTAGGAGACCTGTAAGCAGATCAGGGATATGTCTGACCTGCAGCCTCTGTAGCTCTGCCTTCTTCTCCTCTATGTACTTCTCTTCAAAATCTTTCTCTCGCTGCCATGCCTCCTTCTCCTGAGTGAGTCTGTCCTGCAGGTTACGTAACTCCTCCAGTTGCTGGTTGTGCCTATACACAGGACGACGTTCACGCCCGTCCTCCTGTGTCAGCTGGGATTTATATGCAGACAGCTGAGCCTGCAGACTGAAACACAAAACACAATCAGTCCCACCTACGCTTAAGTACCCTAATGTCAGCCAGAAGCAATGAAGATATCAAAGCCAGAACAGAAGGAAATGAAGATGAAAAAGATGTGAATATGTGATAAGAGACATGGTGGTAGTAGTAAAGTGCGAGAAAAATATTTCAACAATGTGTGTATCTGCACACTTGTGGTTTATTTAACGATGCTGTCAGTAGTTCAGACTGTGTAGCGCAGAATTAAAATCTGGAAGAATTTACTTTAATTGACTGGCCTTTGCTTTATTTACATAAAATGTGAAATTTCAAAAACTGCTTCTCTTTCCTTATTGAGGCACAAGAAACCTATCTGAAGGGTCTGAATGAGCCACTGCTTTGTCATCAGATGACCAACCTGTGTACTGAGGTCATCTGTTGTGAGATTATGGAAAGCAACTTGTAGACATAGTGCGAGAGCTGCACTGCGGCCAGCTGCTGCTCCTCGCCCAGCATCAGCAATGCTGGCAACTCACATGATGTGTCACAAAGGTTTGAAGTCAGCACCCCTGGAGGAATGGTGGAAATCATGGCACTGCGCCATGGCAAGTGGTCCTGCAAATGACCAAATACTCAGGCTCAATCTATTCAATGAGAAATGCAGTGAAAAACAAATTCAATGTTTTTTGGGGAATGGGGGAGAAGGAAAAACACAATTCAAATACCAAACTCAGGGAAGTCTTAAATAGTAGAAATTTAACACCAAGGTAATTGGGCATGGACCAATAAAAATACACATTAAATACAGAGAAAATTAAGTAGGGGTTCACTGCACTTTACTGTACGCAGTTAAGCACACATAATTTTTGGTGAAAGCATCTGGGTTTCCCTTCAAATAACTGTAATTAAGTAATGAAACTGCTCACCTATTACAACATCGTTATGAATATACATTTCTATTGACCAATGTTCTATAATATAACATTGTGGTGCTACACTGTGATTGATTTATGCATTAAATGGTTTCCAAGTGATGGAAAATGGTTGACATGGATCACTTCTGCAGTATCAAAACTAATTATGGTCTAGAAATAACTGGCTCAAAGCTGGAGAATCAGAGGAAACTGGACAAAAAGATTGTACATACATGATAAAGATATAAAAATTTTATGGTATCCAAAAAGAAGTAAATTCAGAAAAAAACAAAGTACATGTTAGTATCTCGTCATCAGAAGACAGGCAGGCAAAATCATATTAGGGAGGCTAATAAATCCTTTGAAAGTGTGAGAAAGTTAAAATATTTGGGAACAACAAAAACAAATCAAAATAATATTCATGAGGAAGTTAGGAAGAGATTAAATTCCATAAATGCTTGCTACTTCTCAGTTAAAATTTTTTTGTCTTCCTGTCTGCTTTCTAAGAACCTGAAGATTAAAATTACAAAACAATAATTCTGCCTGTTTTTTTGTATGGGTGCGAAACATGGTCTCTCACTCTGAGGGAGGAACGCAGATTGCAGGTGTTTGAGAATAGGGTGTTGAGGAGGATAGTTGGGCCTAGGAGAGAAGACGCTGGGGTCTGGAGAAAACTGCACAATGACAAACTTAAAAATTTGTACTCCTCCCCCAGTATTGTCAGAGTGTTTAAGTCGAGAAGAATGAGATTTGGCAGGGCATGTAGCACACATTGATGGAACGAGAGGTGTGCACCAGGTATTGGTTGGGAAACCTGAAGGGAAGAGTGCTGGGGAGACCTAGACATAGATGGGAGGATAATATCAAGCAGGATCTATGGGAGATAGGAGCTGAAGGAGACTGGATTTTGTTGGCCCAGGACAGGGTCCGGTGGAGGGCTTTCGTTAATTCGGTGATGAACCTTCGGGTTCGGTAAGCCATCTAGTTAGTTAGTTAGATATCCGTAAGATATACCAAGGCCATGGAATTACAGGGAAAATACTGTTTGATAAAAGACAGAAGAGACTAGATTTAGATCAAGAAGCAGAAGACATACAATTCAACTTACCAGAGGTAGTTTCAGAGACTGAATTTCTCCTTTGTTCCCAAGATTTGACTCAGAATCTGGCACTGTTGAAGCGGAACAGTGAGGCTGATCACGGTTGTCTTTTGGGTGGTGTTTCTTCAAGACACCTGTAATTAAAGATGGTGCTGACATCTGTACTTGTGGATAAGAAATATTAAACAGAAAGAAATGATTGCCAACAATGAAAAGAGTTGTGAAGAAATGTGCATAATTCAATGGAGAAAAATTCAACACTAGTACTTTTATCAACAGCAACAGCAGACTTTTGTTTTGTCTGAAGTCTTTAACAACACACACACACATACCTTTCACCCCACCTACTGGTAACTGGTCTTTATTAGCATTGTCAAAACCCCCAAATGTCTCTGCACGTTTTGGGAGCGTTGGTGAAATGTAGGCTTGACTCTGATGTTCTCCAACAGAACTCACACTACGAGACAGATTTGTTCCTGGAGCATAGAGCGAGCTTGCCAAGTTGTTCACCTCCTGCAATCACACAACACAAAATGCCTATGATATCACAGAGAATAAATACGATACAAGACACATGATTAGAACACGCAAATTCAATCACACTTCACTGCGCACAAAAAGCCTCTGACATATTTTTCTTCAAAATGGTGTAACAACTA